ACTGCTAACTGGGTGGTTGTTTCTTTGGAAGGGGAATAGTAGGCTTTATTTCGGCAAAGGCTTTGTGGTCCTCTGCCTCTCTTTCTTTCTTTCTCTCTTTCTCTCTTTCCTTGAAGAAATCTTGGAGAGAGAGTAGCGTGGGGGGAGGAGGAAAAAAAAAACATGGAACAAAATTACGTTTCAAGACCTCTTCTCACAGGAAATAACTGGTGTTTTTTTTTCTGTTTTTTTTTTTCCCCCTACCCCCTGCGTTTGGCTGTATCTCAATAACTAACTGCCTTTTTAAAAAATTATTTCTCTTTGCCATCTAATTTAATCGGGCTATTGTAGCTCTCCCTGGGAAGCTAATCTACAGTATTTAAGGTAGGGGTTACTTGGAAATGTGGGAATTGCCTCGTCGGTCGCTCATTGCCCTTGCTTCGTTGTGGGACACAAGGCGCAAAACATGGTAAAGGACGAAGAAAGACACTTACGCGACACAACATGGCTATGCATGGGGACACTTTTGACTTCTGCGGTGCGTTACCTCAGATCTTCTGACTGCGCAACGGACAGGCGTCGTCTTTTACAGAGTGGCTTTTGTTTCTGCCTGACGTTATCTCATCGGTGCTTTGCTGCAAATGCTTGGGTGATGTATTATGCTATATGTATGACGTTGATGTCTAGCTCTCAGCACTTTTCTAATAATTGTTTTCTTTCATAATGAAATTGTAATATTTTTTCCTTTTTTTTCCTCTAACAATAACAACAAAAAGATATTTAAAAGGGCCATGTTTAATAGCTTACTGCGCATCGTCGGCCTCAAAAAGGAGTGGCCGGTATACACGCTAGACGAAGTACGCCAACACAACGACCGCTCCTCAATTTGGATAGTCGCGGGAAACGCTGTATATGATGTCACTTCCATCCTAGACACACACCCTGGGGGTGCTAATGCGCTACTCCGTCGAAGTGGTGGTGTGAAGGACTGCACCGAGGACTTCAACTTCCATAGCCGTGCTACGCGGAGGACATGGGATTCCTTTAAGATTGGTGTCTTGGACGCTAGGGAATTTGTGGGAATGGTAGCTTACCCTGCTTCCCTGACAGACTCAAGAGACGACAGCGTCGCGCCGGAGGCCTCTCCTGTGAACCACGCCTGTGCAAGTTGGGAGTGCGACGGCGGCAAGAACTGCTGCTTGACCAGTACTGTCGAAACCTGCGGGAGTAGGTCTGAGCCCGTTCCAGATCGTATATGCTGGGAGTGTTTGCACCGTTCCTTGGCGCGGCGGGAGGTTCTTCCAAGACCCTTGTAGGTTTTGTATTTTTTTTCTTCTCTTGACTATAAAGCAATCATCTACAACTGTGGTATGCTTCCCTCCGCGCTTAACAGTGTAAGCAACTAAACAACAACAAAGTAGGCAGAATGCCGCGAAGATTGACACGGTACATGTAGCCAGGCACTCAGTTTCGCTTTCGCCGGCGACTCTGAGATGTGCGTCTTCTTGGATTTTAGCGTTGGGCAGAACCAATCACCAATTTGTTCTCATTTTTTTTTTGGCTTAAAACGTCTACAGAGATAACCTGCGGCAAGGTGAGTCCAAATGGATGACGGTGCGTTTTGTGCCACTCCCTTGTTTATTTGCCTAACACTTGATTGAGCCCCCTGGAGAACGCACCCACCTTATTCTGGCGCCTGGGACCTCAGTATCGTGCAGGTATCGAGAGTCCCGCGTCACCACATAGTCCTTTGGGCTTGTTCTTACTGGTCTAGGGAGGGCTGCGGGCTGACCTTTTTGGGTGCTGACGTCTGCAAAAGGCCTGGGACAAATGAAGTGGGATTCTCACCCCAACAGCTGCGCGTGCCAACTTGTCGCTACAAAGCTACAGGTAGCGAAGTGTAGCGGCGCAAAAACTCTACATTGGTGGTGTAGGGTTCTACCGCTGCAAGTGCGGAGGAAGAAAGTTTACATTAAAAAACAACAACAATGAAACAAAATTAATTGGTTGTTCTCTCAAACAGTACCACGTCGGTAGTCTGCAAATGAGTCCCTTTCTTTACTTTTATATGTGCAATCCAGCCTTGACTTCCCACTGTATTCTCCACGCGGAGGGGGGAGGCGGTCGCGGGTCCCAACGAGACTGCCACTTCGTCAGTTCACAGGGAGCCCGGTCATCATGTATTGGTTTCTAAAAGCACTTGTTTCATTGTTTCTGTGTGGGTGTGCGTGTGCGACAAATCTCTTCTTAATTGGGGGATCCTGGGCGCAATGGGGTAAGGTGCGCTTTTTCTCCTTATTATACCTCCATTTTTTAGGTCACGTAGGACAGGGACTCCGCCAGACGCGCATACCAAATATAATATACCATTTTAATCCCTCCAGTGTACTTTCTTTTTCCCTAATCCATTTCTTCTCTCTCTCTCTCTTTTTTTTTTTTA